AAGGTCTTCAAACACCAACGCTGCAAAGCCAAATTTTTATGCCCATTCAAGTTCTCCCAAGAACGTTCGTCCTGTTTCCAACTCTGGTGGTCGTTTCCCTTGCCAAATTTGCAAAGGTAATAATCATCAGGCACTGGACTGCTTTCGGCGAATGGACTTTTCTTTTCAAGGACGTCATCCCCCTACAGACCTAGCAGCCATGGTTGCTGATATTAATACAAAATTCCTGAATTGTCAATGGCTTACAGACAGTGGTGCTAATGCACACGTAACTAATAATGCTGCGAATCTTGACTCCAAAAGCCCATTTGATGGCAATGAGACTGTCGGTGTAGGTAATGGTGCAGGTTTGTCTATTAAACATACTGGTTCATCCATTGTCCACTCTGATAATAATCGTTTCCTTCTTAAGAATATTATTCATTGTCCTCAAGCTGCTACCAATCTCCTTTCTGTCAATAAATTTTGTGTCGATAATGATGTCACTTTCCATCTCACACATAATGCTTATTCGGTTCAGGACAATCAGACGGGAATCATGCTCCTTCAGGGTCCGAGTGAAAATGGGCTCTATCCTATCAATCTCTCCAACTTATCACACAATAAACGCAGAGGACTAACTGCTTTTATGGGAATCAAGGCATCTAACTCTCTTTGGCATCAACGTTTAGGTCATCCATCTGAGTCTGTCCTACGTCATGTTTTATCTAATTTTAATTTACCTCTTGTTGGTTCGGTGCAAAAGAATTTTATATGTGAATCTTGTCAACTTGGTAAGTCCATTCAACAACCCTTTTCCAGTTCAAATCGTGAGACATCAGGTCCTTTAGATCTGGTTCACTCGGATGTGTGGGTTGCACCTCTTATTTCACCTAGTGGTTTTAAATTTTATGTCACATTTATTGATGATTTCAGTCGCTTTACATGGTTGTATCCAATTGCAAACAAATCTGATGTCTTCAATTCTTTTATTCAATTTCGGCTACTTGTGGAAAAACAATTCTCATCCCCTATTAAATGTTTACAAACTGATAACGGTGGAGAATATATTTCCTCACTTTTTACTCGATATCTCATGGAAAATGGTATTTTTCATAGACGAACATGTCCATATACCTCTCAACAAAATGGTACTGCTGAACGTAAACATCGTCACATTGTTGATATGGGACTTACTTTACTTGCACAATCTGGCCTCAATAAGAAATTTTGGGTTGAATCATTTTTAACTACTGTATATTTAATCAATAGGTTACCAACACCAGTTTTAAATAATGACACTCCCTTTTTTCAAGTTATACAAAAATGCACCCAATTACTCTTTTCTACGAAACTTTGGATGTCGATGTTATCCCTTGTTGCGTCCATATGCTGAAAATAAATTGTCATATCGTAGTATACCATGCATTTTTATTGGTTATTGCTCAAGTCAAAAGGGCTATAGGTGCCTTGATCCTATAAGTGAACGTGTTTACATCTCTCGTAGTGTTGTATTTGATGAAAACTATTTTCCATCCAAAATAAAGATCCCAAATCACTCTCCTGTTGGTGTCGTGATTCCTCCTGGTATGTCTTCTTCTCCCTTTCAAATTCCAGTTCCTACTAATTATTTATGTTCACCACTTATCAGATCCACTGGTATGTCTTCCTCTCACCTTCCAGGTCCTACTAATTATTTATGTTCACCACTTATCAGAGCCACTGGTATGTCTTCCTCTCACCTTCCAGGTCCTACTAATTATTTATGTTCACCACTTATCAGAGCCACTGGTATGTCTTCCTCTCCCCTTCCAGTTCTAGTTTCAACTATCCCTCAGACTTCACCTCAACCACATGAGCCTGTACCACCTAATCATCCACCCCATCCACCTCTCCTTGACTCACCTGATCTTTTGGCTTCTGTTGAGCACTCCCCTGTCCACCATATTATTACTCGCTCACAAACAGGACAGTCTCAACCTCGCCAATTCCCTAACTATGTGACCCATTATTCCTCACGTCATCCACTTCATCTTTTCCATACAGTTACCATCCCTCCTGAGCCTAACACCTTTACACAGGCAGTCTCTAAACCATAATGGTATGCAGCTGTGGAATCTGAGTTCAAAGCATTATTGAAAAATGGTACATAGTCACTCTGTCCACGACCTTTATCTCACCATATTGTCCGCAACAAATGGGTTTACAAGATCAAACAGAAACCTGATGGCTCTATTGATCGTTACAAGGCACGGTTAGTTGCCAAAGGATTTGATCAAAGGTCCGGCATCGACTACTTTGAGACTTTCAGCCCAGTTGTTAAACCAACAACTGTTCGTCTTATTTTAGCCTTGGCTGTACAGTTTCGATGGACAACACGACAACTTGATGTCTCCAATGCTTTTCTTCAAGGATACCTTGATGAGGAAGTTTATATGGAGCAACCACAGGGGTTTATCAGTGTTGAACATCCTCATTTTGTCCGTCGATTGCATCGCTCTCTTTATGGCCTAAAACAGGCCCCACGAGCCTGGTTCACTCGTCTCTCACAGGCACTTTGCAATCTTGGCTTCTCTGGTTCTCAAGTCAACTACTCACTCTTCACCCTTCATAAAGATAAATTTCATATTTTTATATTAGTGTATGTCGACGATATCATCATCACTGGCAATGATGATTCTATGATTTTCTCTATTATCTCACAATTACAATGTGAGTTTGTGATGAAGGATTTAGGTGACTTGAGTTATTTTTTAGGCATAGAAGCTGCACGTGATCAGACGGGGTTGCATCTATGACAGTCTAAATATATTGCTGATTTACTTGATTGTGCAAATATGGTTGGTTCTCGGCCTTACAAGGCTCCCTGCATTTCTAGTTCAAAGATGTCGAAATTTGATGGTGAACTATTAATTGATCCCTCTGAATACCGTCATATTATTGGAGCCTTACAATATGTTACAATTACACGTCCTGATATTGCATATTCAGTAAATCAGTTATGTCAGCATATACAGGCACCTACCAGTACCCATTGGACTTCGGCAAAACGAGTTCTTCGTTACTTAAAGCATACTCCTGATTTTGGTCTCCATTATAAACCCAGTACTGTTGCCTTACATGCCTTCTGTGATGCAGATTGGGCGGGTAATCCTGATGATAGATGTTCTTCCAGTGGCTATGGCATCTATTTTGGTCAGTGTTTAGTTTCTTGGTCCTCTAAGAAACAACCTGTTGTCTCTAGATCTAGTACTGAAGCAAAGTACCGGAGTTTGGCCTTAACAACAGCTGAAGTATATTGGATTCGTATGCTTTTGCGAGAATTGCAAATTTATTTACCTTCACCACCTACACTTTGGTGTGATAATCTCAGTGCTATGTCTTTGGCTTCTAATCCTATCTTTCATGCACGAACCAAGCATATCGAAATTGATTATCACTTTATTCGAGAGAAGGTTGTTAACAAAGATGTCGTTGTTCGTTATATTAACACCGGCAATTAAGTTGCAGATATCTTCACCAAGGGCCATACTGCTGATCGGTTTTGTATCTTGCGTGACAAATTATTGGTATGTTCCCTGCCCACTAATTTGAGGGAAGGTGTTAAGAATATCAAAGATATCATTGTCGTGCTCCCTACAAATCAGGATGCTTGATTTCAAATGCTTACTGTGTTATATTTAAACTTGTACTCTATTGTAATCATCCGGAGAGTTATGATTGTTGTTATTGTAATGCTTATCACCACAACTGTGTAATGTCTTTATAATTATAATAATATACATGGTTTGGCTACTTTAAGTCAAAACCATCTTTCTCTGTATTGTCTTTCACACCTCACTTGTTTTCAGAGAAACCACACCTCAACTCTTCGGAATTGAAAATTCCTATCTATCAAGTTACATCCATCCCAGGTTACTAGCATCATATATCCGGTTCCGTCAGCTTTCCCACGAGGCACAGTAATAGATCTACATTAAGAGCTGTAAGTAATTATCCCTAGATCATACATTAAAATATGGACACTGTTATAATTAATGAGACATCAAAATTAAAGAAAACTGGAAAAGGTGTGAATGTATTCTCCAGATACGACGATCCTAGTCATCTGAAGAGAGCAAAACAGTATCGTATCATAAAGGAAATAAAAGAACCATTCTGTTTCTTATTTCTGACAAGAGAAGAGTTGATACGGGATCAAATTTGTAATGCCTGGCCGATGTAGCATAAAGACTAAAAGAACAAAGAAAGAAATAGGGGACAGTTGATCTCATCTTCTTTGCATAAAAAAGAGCAAGCTTTTCAGTGCCGAGAAATTCTAGTATTAAATTCCACATGAAGTAATTAATCTCTGTTAAGATTCAATTTGTTATATTCATGTTGCATCAACCATGAAAGAAAATGTAGGTGATTAAGACAGTCGGTGACACAGTTCCTCACTTGCTGCCCAGATCTTCATTACTAGTCATACTATCATTAACTTGTGTAATATAGCAGAGCAAGCACTTTTCACTCAAAATGAAATCAAGAAACGCAGAAAACCAAAATATATGAAAGGCCTTGATACTATTTTAAAGAATTATAGTTTTTAAAATATAATTTATATTATTTTATTTCATAGAATTATTCCAGCTTGAATAAAATTTCAAAATATAATTTGTATTTTTATATATGACCAATCATTTATTTAATTTCGCTGTATTGTTTTAGGATGGAGAAGCATAACCATAGTACAGGCTAAAAGAGCAGGAGACCTGCCAGTAGGGAGCCTTTTCGCAATTTGCAGGTTCCTACTTCGCACCGTCTTTTAGCCAAACGGCGTCGTGAGAGCTAAAAAACATTACAGTGCTTACTAGTAATTATATAATATCATCGTCATTTTTTTAAACTACCGAACGGCACCGTTTAGGGCAAGCTCTAAACCTTTCAAATTTCCAAATAGAAAAAAGCAAGGGAGAGCCCTAATAGCAGCAGATCATCTCTCTCCCTTTCAAATTTCCAAATAGAAAAAAGCAACACTGGCTTCCAACACTGGCCTTTGCTCTTGCTTCTTCAAACCCTAGCTAGCTTGCTAGCGTTCTCTTCCCTTCCAACTCCACAATGAAGCTCGTCAGGTTAGTTTTTACTAACTTATCTTTGTCTCCCTTCTCTGTTGTTGATTAATAATCTGATCGTTGTGTTATTTTATCAATCCTTTTCGTCTCTAGGTTTTTGATGAAGCTGAACAATGAGACCGTCTCAATTGAACTGAAGAACGGAACTGTTGTTCACGGAACCATCACAGGTTTCTATTTCTATCTCTATTACCTTCATTCTTTTAGTTTTATCTACCCGGGGTTTTGTTAAACCCTTGTATTTATCTGGGCTATTATCGACCTCCAGATTTAAGAAGTTCGTCAGCTATTTTATCCCCGTAGATTCTTAGGGGAGCTGATCTATGGATGAAGATGCGCAATATTATGGACAATTTACTCACTTTGTTATGGTATATTTTGGGAGTTTTGGCTGTGTCGTGCAAAAGATAGATTTGTGATATGGGATCATTGACAGCTCCAAAGTGAGGGTTGGTATGCCTACTCTGCTGCAGATTGTTCTTCCCCATTGGTATCTTCTTTTTCTTCATGTGCAAAAAGATTTTGGTAGATTTGTTGAATGAAAAATATCCGGGGTGGAGTCAGTTGACAAAAAGTAAACGAATGAAGTTGTGTTTGATGGGCTGGGGAATTCTGGACTAAATAGACCGTAAAGTGGAATGCCTTATGTTCTGATAAATTGCATATGAACTACTGGGTAGATTGTAATTTTCATAATGGAGATTATTGTCTTGTGTTTAGAGTATGCAGTAAATTAATTCAATTTATATGAATATTGATTTAGGAAAAGAAGATAGTTTGCTTCTCATTTGGACCGATGGGCAATTCCATCTATGGTTATGGAATTTTCTTTCGTGGAATTTAATAGCTTGAACTAACAGTTGAATTTTCAAATCCGGAGGTTAGTCTCTTACCTAAGGCAGAGTTTGGAGTTAAGGTGATGGAGAATAAGTGCTGGCTGCTATATTTCTTGGAGCACCATCCTTTTCCACGAATCTTGTCTTCTTTACGATATTCGTGATAAGCTTTTTTACCCCTAGAGATTGAGTATGCTAAATGCTAACTATAATGCCCCTGACCTAGGCTGGCCCCATGAATTGATGAGTCATCCAAATATGTTATGGGAACAACACATGTTCAAGTATAGTACTTCCTAAAGTGTGGTGACATTGTGAGACTTTCCAGAGCCCTGTTGTCTTTGTAGTTATTTGATGATGGAGGGGAATTTGAAATATTTTACGAGTTTCTCTTACAAGGTAAATTTGTTCTGGGATTGAATTTCTTTCTGATCCTTTATGAATTTCAACTTTAGGGGTTTTAGAGGAGTGTTATTAGGTGATATTCCAATTTTCCTTTACTGTGCATATGGTGGAACAGGTGAAGCAATGACAATTCTAACTGGTTGATTTGCCAATTGTAGGTGTTGATATCAGCATGAACACTCATCTGAAAACAGTGAAATTAACAGTGAAAGGGAAAAATCCAGTAACTTTGGATCATCTCAGTGTGAGGGGCAACAACATTCGTTATTACATCCTTCCTGACAGCTTGAATCTTGAGACTTTGCTGATCGAGGAGACACCTAAGGTCAAACCTAAGAAGCCAACAGCTGGTATTGCTAACTTCTTTTTGGCTTCAACTACATTTAAATGTTACACAATGTTTCTTTTCCTACTTATAACAGATTGCTAATAATTTTCATTCTTCTAAAAATTTCAGGGAGGCCTCTGGGTCGTGGTAGAGGCCGAGGCCGTGGACGTGGCCGCGGCCGCTAATGATGTCTTGCTTGCTTAAATTTTTGCAGCGTCTGGCTATGTAAACACCTATGTTGTAGCAAGAATCTGCTGGTAAAGTCAGGAACAGTAAGAGAATGCTACTGCATTATTTTGCTGTTTGCCATATGGAAGCAAATTGCAGGACTCGAGTTTGTCTGTCGGTGAATCCTTTTCAAATTCAACCCGAAGATCAAAAGTGATGAGCTTACGTCATGTTACTCTTCTGTATCCAGTTTCATTAATCAATGCTGGAATGCTATCATTCATGGAACATTCTGATTTGAATTACCTGCATGTAGCGGATAGTACTGCGCAACTGGAGCGAGTGGTTAAAAAATCCACTTCCGGTGGCCTGATTGATGGCTCGAACCGTCTAAATGTCTCTTTTAATTGCTTAGTTGTGCTGCTGATACATAACAAAGTTGGCTGGCTGATCAGATGATCGCCTAAAACCCATCTGCGCATTCTTTCCAACTGCTGGCAAGGTTTATCATGAGAATTGTTTCCGATTATTGTTGGGCCTGCTAGTTCTTTCGTATTAAATCCTAGCATGTTGTCTTTTCTTCCCATTTATCAGTCACCGTGTATCGATTTTGAAACGACGGGTATACCCCTTGTTTATACCGATAGCCTCAATAAAAAAATATAGTCAAGACAACAAAAAGGAAAAGACAATTTTCTGAAGTGTATTTGTTCCATAAAACAATGATTTTTTAATTTATTTATTATTATAGAAGTTGGTAAAAGCAATTTTGTAATTAATTTTTTTTTAATTTTTACAAAAGTTTTTTTTTATTATTACAAGAAAATGCTTTCAAGTTTTAAAAAAAATTAAAAATATCTTATTATTTATTATTTATTGATTATATAAAATTTTGTTATTAATCTTTTCATTGTTATATATTTTTAAAAAAATTTTGAATTTTGAATTTTTGATTTTTATATTAAATTTGTTTTTTTTTTGTTATTTGTATTTTGTTATTAATTTTTTGTTATTATTATTATTTAAAATAATTTATGGAATTAATTTTGTTTACTAAGGAGGGTATTTGATTCAAAATTTGAATTTGGTAACTAGGAACAATCAGACAAATTTCCTTCCCCAGATAGCCCTAGCTCAAACCCAATCCTGACCGTCAATCGATATCAAAAACAAGCAGAACCTTTTCTTACTTTCCCTCTCCCATCACATATAAACACATCCATCCAAGGGAATCAAGCTTAGCTTGCATAGAAAGCTTAAAACAGTACCTAATCAACACGGAGATCAGCGGCTGAGGAAAGAAAGGAAGAAGAAGAAGATGGGGATGAAGCCAGCGAAACAGGCGGTGGTTGTATTTGGGGCTCTTGCATTTGGGTGGCTAGCTATTGAGATGGCTTTCAAACCCTTCCTCGACAAGGCTCGTTCCGCCATGGACAAGTCTGATCCTGCTCGGGATCCCGATGGTGATGATGATTCTGCTGATCGCAAGGGAAAGGGCTCCCTCTCTGAATCTGATGTTTTTTCCTCCGACGAGAACCCAGCAGTTGCTTGATGATGATGGTTATGATTTTTGAATAATAGTTGTTTGGTTAAATTTAGATATAAAAAAAAAGGGTTGGGGTTAGAAGTCGGAGATCAGTACTCAGTGGTGTTAGTAATGGTCTTATGGGGGTTTAGGTGCCAGGGATTTGAATGGGTTGTTGGAGTTTTTAAGATCCTCTTGAAATCAATCGACGGCAAGATTTAGGGTTTTGCTCTTCTTTTTTTCTCTCTACAGTTTGTTAATTTACAAGCTGATTATTATACATCTAAAATATGGTATTCTGAGGTGATTTTGGTAAGCTTATGTTTGGTGGCACATTTGAATAAATTTCTTGATCATATAAAGCATGAATCATGGGCATGATCAGGAAAAATAACAATAACAACAACAAAACCAGGGGCATCTTTCAGCTACTTTTGTGGCTAACTGTTAACTAGTCTATGAACCCAGAATGGTTTGTCTATTGACCAGGAAGACCGTCCTTAATTTTTTTAAAATTTAAATCTTAGGATACAAGTTATTTTTTAAATTCAAATCAAAATATTTATCAATTTTTTTAAAAAAATATATCATGTAATTGTATATCACTACATGTGTTATTTTGTGCTGAAAAAAGTGATGATTTTCAAAACCCGGTTAGAGCTGGAATCAAGCAAGGTTTAAAGTAAACAAAGAAAAGTAAAAACCCGGGTTGTTTCTTAGTACCTGTTGAAAGTAAACAAAGAAAAGTAAAAACCCGGGCTGTTTCTTAGTACCTGTTGGAGGAATCTAGGGTTTTTCAATGTAGCCAAATCAGGAGAATTGGTTTCTGAGAGAAGACACGAATCCAAGGCGACCGAGACAGATACAGATTTCTTTTGTTCGCGTTGCCTCTAGTTTTTTATTTTATTAGATTTAAAGTAAGAAAAACAAGTCAAAGTGTCAGTATATAATTACTATATTAGATTTATCTATTTTTGTAAATATGACTTATTTAAGTTATTAATTAAAGTGAAAGATTTCAATTTAATATATATTACTTGCTCACATTTTTTTTTCAACTTTTGTGCAAGTTATTGTCATCTAAATAAAAAAATAAATAATTTCATTATATTTTAAATAATATAAACGATTTTAATATTTAAATCAAAGTAATGAATTGGTGCATTCTATATAATAAATTATACTAGTTTATTTCTCGCATAATGTGAACTTAATTTTTTTATGATATAGAAAATAATACTTACATCACTATAAATTTTTTGATATTATAATTAAACTTGTTATAATAGTTTAAACAGAATTATTTTCCATGTAATTTTGTTAATTAGATATTTTAATAAAAGAAAACAATTAGATTAATTCCAGCCAATCCATTAAATATGCAACTGGAATTATGAAATCTTTGAATTGATTTAATTTTTTTATTTTATTATATAAAAAAATTATTTGCTAACATTATATTATTAAATAATAAAATTTAATAAAAACTCTACATTAAAAAAAAATGGCAAGGAAAACCTAAAGGTTAAACAAAAAGAAATGAATAGCCTCTCACAACAAAGCATGGGTGTGGGGCCCGGGGGGCCATGCGCCTGACATAGGTTTTTTCATATTTATAAAGCCTCCTCTTTTTAGTTGTTTTGATTAATTTATTTCTTGCGCTTTCATTGCGGCTTTGATAAAAATTGCTTTCGATATAAAAAAAAATACCTATACTATTAAAAAAAAATGTGTGGTATTGTTATTAAATTTGTTATGATGATTCAAATTTTAAAATAGTTGAATTGACTATTTGTTTTAAATTAAATTATATATTTTTAAAAAAATGCTAAATTAACTTTATTCAACTCATAAAATCTATGATATGGTCATGAATTTTATTGAATTAATTTTTTTATTTTAATATATGGTAAAAAATATATAAAAATTAGTTAATTCTTAGTCTAATACTAATGATCAAAATAAAATAAAAATTTCAAACTAAATAATAAAATTTAAATAATAAAAAAAAGGCAATAGAAAAGAGTCTAGCTATGCTAGGACGGGTCAATCAAAAAAACACTAGGGACGTGCCCTGAGAAATTCCCATGCAATTGGCATATTGGTTTTTTTTTTTTCTATAAAGGGCAGACAACAGGTTTTTTTTGAATATATATATATAAATGATATGTTGTCCTTGATGACTTGAGCCAGGACTCAAAATAATTATCTAAATGAATTAGAAATATTGTAACCTTGTTAAATGTTCATATAAAAAGCTAAAACCACCCGATATTTTTTTCATATAAAAAGCTAAAACCACCCGATATATATATATTTTTTTTAACGAGAAACCATTTATTTTATAAGCATTTAGGAGGGTCCAATTTACAATTTTAATGATATAATTGAATAACTTATGAAACCATAGGGAGCGAAATAAACTGTATAATTGAATAAATTTCTAGAGTAGCTCCGCCACTCCATGTGATGGCAAAATGAATTTGATGTGTATGTTGATTGATTGGAAACATGGTCATTTTTTAAAATATTTTTTGTTTAAAATTATATTAAAATAATATTTTTTAATTTTTTATAAATTATTTTTTATATTAATATATTAAAATATCTAAAAAAATTTAAAATCATTTTAAAATTAAAAAAACAAGTGAAAAACGCCAAGTAGAGAAACGTTGTGGTCAATAATAGCTGGAATCCAAATTCCAAACCCGGCTTGCGTAATTTCCTACCGAGCCTGTAGCTGTCCGTAGTCCCTCGTGCAAGAGTTCTAAGAACATTTTAGATGTTTCCAAATCATCCGGCTCTAGGCCGCGTCTTCTTTGAATTTCCCAGGAACGTTCCTTGCAGGTTACGCCATGATCGAGTTCATTTATGGTGACCGGTGCAACTAATGCTAAGGTGGTGGCGGACTGGTAGTAGAGCCACAAGTAATAATTAAGCACCACCCGGTGCGCTGGCCACCTGGCACACCTCCATTTCCATAACTTTAACATCAGCAAGAACCATACGCCATGAAAACTATGGTAAACCCGTCGGTGCATGGAATATGTAGGTGTAATGTCAATTTTTACCTCTCTTGGAGCCCATCCTTTATTTTAGTGTTCCTTCCTCTCGTTGGGTCACCTAAAGCTTTCTCTCACTCCAAAAGTTTATCTTCGAAAGCGAAGCACGCGAGTCGATCCGACGAATGATTGTTCTTGAGTCATTTTCTGGACGGCCTTGCTTCCTCACTTTTTTTCTGGTACACCTTGCTCCCTCATCGAGGGTTTAAAAAAGAAGAAGAAAAGCCATATCTGAACCTAGATTCAGGAACCATTTTGATTTAACAATCGAGCCGGGTCCTGTGGGTGATGGAGTGAAAGCTTCGATCACGACATTGACCGGTATCTGTCGCTCACATCACATCCGCCGGTCGATCCATTTAATCAAGCAATACAAACCTCTCTGGAATTCCAAACGTCGCTATATGCACGTACAAATATATCACCTTTGGTTGCAAGACCAATTCATTAGAATTTATTCACTCTTTTATTATTATTTTTTAAATAAAATAAAAAGAGAAGGAAGGGATTGTAATTAGATGAATAATGATGAAAAGTGCAAGGGCATGTTTAGTGGCGTGAAACTTTCAAACGCACCGCAAGAATATATTGTATTATCTTAGATAGTTAGCAAT